ATATGAATTATCACTTATTCCCCGTTAAATAAATATTGGTCACCGGGTGCAGCTGTACAACTTCAAGGACCCTGGCCTCAAGTCAATTTACGGCTTCCATGAGGGGAAAAAAGTGGAATTTCGCCGTGACACCGGCACCGATTGTCCGAAAACCATGGACACAATACGCCCATTACCACCCTGGACTCCTTGCTTTACCCCCATTTTGATCACATTTAAAACAAAAGAGTTTTAGCAAAAAAACGATTTTCGGAATTTAATATTGGTTTTAATTAATTTTGAAATTGCAAATGCAAAGAGATGTTATCGCCTCTTCCGTATGTGATAGGTATTAGTACTATACACATTATCCTTAAAAGACAATTTTTTAAAATGACCGCAACGATGTTACGACACTAGAAACCGAAATCGCCTATTTTGACCTATTTTGACTGCTGGGGCATCTTTCCGTACGTGACAAGGAGTAGGTCGCCCGTCCAACGTGTGTGTTTTTTTCAGGATCACCCGGTTTCCTCCCACTGCTAGACCCCTACGCGCAAGCGAATTATTGAAATAAAATTGAACCATACATTAGTCCCGAAATGACCTAGTTTGTGTCGAGTGGTCGATCAACCCCATTTCGCTCTCTCAATTTTAGCACTCCTAACTCTAAAACTAAATGCAAGGAACGGGCCTATTTACAGAGGTCACAATTTTAACCCTGTAATACCCAGCATATCAGATATGCACACCTACATGATATACATATTATTGTAATCCCTATGGGATATTTTAATTATTTACTGTTATAATATGAATTATCACTTATTCCCCGTTAAATAAATATCGGTCACCGGGTGCAGCTGTACAACTTCAAGGACCCTGGCCTCAAGTGCATGGGACCAACTCTACATTTTCTGAAATGTCAATAAAAGCCCTGGAATGATTTCATTTAAAAAAAATAATCAGAAAGTAAATCTATTTTTATTTATATGCTATTTGTTGCCAGAAAATATATTTTGTTACTAGTGTAATTCAAATTTAAAAATAAACAATATTTTTTCTGAAAATCAATGTCGAAATTTAGTGTATCATATATGATACAATGGGTCTGAGGCATATTTTATTGATATATAGAAATTAATGCAGTGTTCGCATTATGTGTTAAAAGAGTTCCAGAAATGTCCCGAAATTCAGCCATTTGTGTATTTAGTATATCAAGTATATGCGTGTATTACAAAGCTCTGATTTGTGTGATTTGTGTACACCCCGCCCCCCCCCCCTCCTCGTGTCACTATCATGTACATATCAATTCTGCTGCCAACCCACCCACGCGAACATGACTAAATTATGAAACATTGTCTAGTCGTTTGTATGTTACGACAAAACGAAGCCAGCGTGGCTCATTTGTGCAGAACGGAAGGCCTTGCAAGGATTAGTGTCTAGTCGTTCGGATGGTACGAAAACCCGAGGTCAAAGTGGTTCCCCGTTGGCAGTGGTGAAGTATGGAAGGCCTAGCAAGGATCTGTGTCTAGTCGTTTCGATGGGACGAAAAACGCCCGTCCCCTCGTCCATGGTACAAGGATTAGTGCCTAGTCGCTTGGATGGTATGCAAAACAGAGGTCCCCGTTCTCTCCCTTTGTGCGTGGTTCTTGACCGAAGGCCCGACAACTAACTTTGCGTGCAGTTTTTTGGGTAGGACGAAAAATCGAAATCCTGTGTGCATATTGACGTGCACAAAAAATAACCCTTTGTATTTGAAATTTTATGCACCCACCCCACCCTCGAACAACGCTTAACATAACATTATGTTTTCACTACCTACATTGTAAAATTTGTTTGATTTCAGATGACTTAGCCCCGGTTTTTCACAGTGAAAGATTTTGATGAAACTTAACATTCATGTTTATAACCCAAAGATATGGTTCCTTTCGATATTTGCGCATATCGAATCGTAACTTCATGAATTATGGTCCCTGATTGTAAGAAAAATCACTTTATATTTCGCGTGTTCTCTATCTATTTCTCGGAAATGAAATATGGAAATACACAAGCTAGCTATTGTATTACAGGGTGGTGGTGGTGGTGGTGGGGATGAGGTCTTCTATTTGCAATGATTTTTTGACTACAAAATATACGCTCTAACTCATTACTCAAACTACAGCAAAAAAGCGGGACCATAAACCCCATTTTATATATTCTTACAATAGCAACGCACTTCGGGATTAACTTAGAAATGGTTCCACTACTGATGTCTTCCGCCTTACTCCTGCCACAGTAGTGGCTTGTCCTACGGAGTTCCTTTCAGTTTTTTTTAGTCAAATGACTACAAAAAGGTTACTGGCCTATGTATAGCTCCCTTAATTTACACATAAACTGACCTAAAACTGCACTGCACATATAATAAACCAATTCCCATTGAAATAAAGGTGAAGCCGTACCGCATAATTATATGATTTGATGAAACCCAACTGCTACCTGAAGTTTCTCGCCTATCGAAGTTATAATATCCGCCGGTGTCATGGCGGCTCGCACATTATAAGAATCATTGCTTTGAAAATATAGAACGCATTAACACAAAGAAAAACTGATCGGTAACTAGTTTAGTGGTCCAGTCTTCACTATAATTTGTGATAGAATTACTTATTTAAAAAAAAACTGAATGATGTAAAAATAAAAATGGTTGGAGTGCCCAAATATAGATTTGTCGTTGATTTCATAAAGATGTTAGGATAGAACGTTGAATACTGTGTGATTCAACATGGCGGCCGAGGGGTTTAATATGATATAAGTACGAAATACATGTACATGTAGTACCAAATGGTTTATATGTATGAGAGTCAAGGTTTGGACTAAATGTCTTGGGGAAGTAGGAGGCGACTAGTATGTGGACCGATGTGAGATTGCCCATTGTATTAACTGGACGGGTAGGCCTATTCACTTTCGGTTATGTGTCAATGTCAAATAAGCGGCTTCTTATCAACACGATCGGCCCTGGGCCGGTTTAATTCTACGTATCTCTCGTAGCTGAGAGAAGAAAGATTTTTTAGCCGAGAGAATATCTTCCGTCAAAGTGATTGTTGATTCATAGATTCTAACAACCCCTTTTGCAGTTTATATGAAAGCTTTGATATCTGCTATGCAGATCTAGTTATTATTTTTTTTTTGTGTACTTTCTGCAAATCGGATTTCTCAGAATCTAACCATAGGATCTTTCTGAAACTTTGACCTCCCCCCCCCCAAAATTGTGTGGCAGCTTTTACTTACATATATTTTCAAAACGTTTTACGAATCCGAAATCACCGAATTTTACGAGCGAATGCATTTGACCTACAATGCTGTAACTTTGTGACTATTTGAACTATTTTACTAAATCTTTTTTCTTTGAGTACCTTGAGACAATTACTTCAAATCTGCAGATTCAGATCTTCCCTGGTCCTTCCCCTCTATTAGATCCTCCAGAATTTCGTCCCCGGTATATTCGGCCGGTATCCCATGAACAACCACCTTGTCTATTGACAAGGTGGATCGTTCGGACACCGTCACGGTCATACCGAGAAGGAGGTTCTGGGCCAGCGCTAGGTCCATGTCAGACCTACTTTTAGGGCAAGTCTAACATGTCCCGGCACTGTGATCCTTATGTCGAGTATGTTGAGTATACCCCACTTACTCTTCGATTCCTTGCCCACGGCCATAAGTTTGGCTCCTTGGAAGGACTTACCTTCCAGTGGCCTCACAAGTACGACGTGGGTCTGTTCTTCTCTCCTTTTTGTCGAAGGAAAGAACTTTGGTGCAGGGCTGCTTTTAAAAGCGTCAGCCATTGACATGGGTGAGCTAGCCTCTGTCGCCATCGTTCTTATGCTGCCGAAAAGTAAAATCGAAAACAAAAGGAGTGACTGAACAGTGTTGATTAAGGTTGTATGCTGTTGTTAATTAATGACGTAAGCTGATATAACTGTTGTTAACCCTTTCCACAAAGAGCCGCTAGTCAATCAGTGTTATTAATACTAATTAACTATGGGTTCCTATTGCTTGTATGAGTTTACTTAACAGTTATGAGGCTTGGTAACTATAATAATAATTTAGATTGTTAGTGTTGTTTTAAGCTGGTATAACTGTCGTTAACCTTTTCCACAAAAAAGCCGCTACCCACATAACAATATGATGTTAATTTTACGTTACATTTACGTAAAAATGGTCAGTCAGTTTACCATCATTTTGCTCATCTTTTTAACGATAATTTTACGTCAGGAAATGACGTTAATCTAACGTAAACTTTACGTCATTTTTACGTTATATTTACGTCATTTTCTGACGTAAATCTAACGTAAACTTTACGTCATTTTCTGACGTAAATCTAACGTAAAATTTGCGTAAAGTTTACGTCATTTTCGTTAGATTTACGTCAGAAAATGACGTAAACTTTACGTTAGATTTACGTCAGAAAATGATGTAAATATAACGTAAAAATGACGTAAACTTTACGCTAGATTAACGTCATTTCCTGACGTTAAATTGTCGTTAAAAGGATGAGCAAAATGATGGATATCTAACCGATCATTATACCGTAAATCTAACATTAAATTAACATCATTTACGGATGCAATTCTAAAGTCAAATTTTGATGAGCATTAAAACCTTCCAAATTATTCATTATTTGCGGCAGTAAATGGGAAGTACATTCAACCAATAATCAAATTTTCCTGACCCGTGGGTGAGGCTAAAAGTTGAGTGGTCCAACGTGTGCGCTTTAGATCATAAGGTCTGTCATTGAGTCAAGTGGTTTGTTTCCACACCCAACTTGAACATGGGTTTTCTCTGGGTCCTCCTACTACTAAAGATTCCTGGTGCGGATGAATTATTCAACTTGAATTGAATCACTTAGTCCCAAAGGACAGTTTATGTCTATTGGATGTTTTACCCCATTGCTCTCTATCTACCCATAACCAGTCAGAATTCTAAATGTATTGCACAGAAAAGTTAAAAATCTAGCAGAATTATATGACAAAATATACTACAAGTATGTATACATATACTTTATTTAAAAGACAAAAATATAATGTTATAAAATACAAAATACACATTTAAATATTAACAGTTTTTATCCACAGCTGTTTGAGAAATGAAGACGGGCATATGCCACACAGTGTGCAGAGCTATGGCGTACTCTTATATAAAATTCCAACTGCCAAGGGATCTTTCACACACACACACACACTTGAGTTTACACTGTACCTTGGTTTTTTTGTCCCTTCCGTATGACTAGTCAGCCATCCATGTCAGGTCCTCTGTCCGGCATCACTGACACGGGAAAATGTTCAAGAAAAAGGTCTACATTAGCGCTATGAAAGTGTTGATATGCATATAAGAAAGAAAAAACTGGGATATTGACCAAATTGGGCCAAAACCTATAGCCTCTATCTTATTTGCTCAAGGTATTGATGGAATAGAAGTTAACTTTGGAATGAGTGAAATGAAATGGGTTTAATGTCCTATTCCGACAGGGCTAATGACATGGAAATATGCTATACAGTGTGCTATTATGGAATTTTATCCAGACAGCGGCGCTAAAGCCTACTCTTATATCGAATTCAAACTGCCAAGGGATCTTTCACGTGCACACCAATGTGTGCACAGGACCTCGATCATTCGTACCATCCAAACGACTAGACTAGGGAGAATTAACCAAGGAAAGCAAAGTCCTGAAAAGCTGTATATTGATAATGCTGGTCCTCTCACAATCGGAATGATTCACATTTCACACCCAGTGTACGGACAAACAGGGCCAAAATTGATATGTGGGTGTATAAACAAAGATATATACTACACCAATATTGGTTTAACACATTTCAAATATAATTGTAACACGGATATTTGCAATGGTTGATCCATGACAAAAGATTTGAAATATTTTGAAGAGACGCAAAAGGTTACGCCATACAGTGTGCTATGAGGGAAATTTTGCCCGGGCAGCAGCGCTATGGCCTACTCTTGTATCGAATTCCAACTGCCAGGGGATCTTTTATGTGCACGCCAATGTGTACACTGGACCTTGTTTTTTTTTTGTCCCATCCAAACGACTAGACAGCTGTCTTCGTCAGGCCCTCCGTCCTGCATCACTGACAATGGGAAACCACACCGGAAAATCAGGATGAACTTTCTCGGCCAATGCAGGGATCGAACACCCGACCTCAAGGCTAGCGAGTCAGCGTCTTACCCACTTAGCCACATGATCCCCCCTTGGCCTCTGTACATGTAGAGATGAATTTTGAGCTACCTTTATATATATATTTCTATTTTTAAAACCCGCGACAAGTATATTTATATCAAGGATGTAACCCTCTATCAGTTAACCCGTCACGGATTGGTTGCATTGGTGAACCGGTTCAAAATATTCGTTTCATATCATACCTGACCTTCAAATCCAGGAATTGTAGCCACAACGGGGATCACGTTGGTTAAGTCGGTAAGACACTGGCTATCTAGTCTGGAGGTCGGGTGTTCGATCCCTGCATTGGCCGAGAAAGTTACTCCAGATTTTCGGGCGTGGTTCTCCCTTGTCAGTGATGCAGGACAGAGGGCTAGACAAGACAGCTGTCTAGTCATTAAAATGGGACAAAAAAATGAGGTCCCATGTACACATTGGCGTGCACGTACAAGAGCCCTTGAAGTTAGAATTCGATATAAGAGAAGGCCGTAGTGCCACTGTCCGGGCAAAATTTCCCACATAGCACACTGTATGGCGTATGCCCATCTTCATTAGCCCAGTTCAGAGCAAAACAGTAGGACGTTAAACTTTCATTTCACTAGCCACAGCTCTGTTTTCTTTCAACAAAGGGAGGGGTGTGGTGGATGGCTGAATGGTTAGCGTGCGCGCGCTGTATCATAAAGTCTGTCATTGAGTCGAATGGCGTGGTTTCGAAACCCCGGTTGTACGTGGCAAGGAGTAGGGTCGCCTGTCCAACCTCGTGGGTTTTCTCCGGGTCCTTCGGTTTCCTCCCACTGCTAAAGACCCCTACACGCAAGCGAATTATGTAAATAAAAAATTAAACCATATGTTAGTCCCGAAATGACCTAGTTTGTGTCGAGTGGACGGTAAACCCCATTTCTCTCTCTCTCTTTCACCAAAGGGGGGGATCAAGTGGCTAAGTGGGTAAGACGCTGGCTCGCTAGCCTGGAGATCCCTGTATTGGCCGAGAAAGTTCATCCTGATTTTCCGGCGTGGTTTCCCTTATCAGTGATGCAGGACGGAGGAACTGACAGACGGACAGCTGTCTAGTCGTTATGGGACGAAAAACCGAGGTCCCGTGTAGACATTGGCATGCACGTAAAAGATCCCTTGGCAGTTGGAATTCGATATAAGAGTAGGCCGTAGCCCCGCTGCCCAGGCAAAATTTCCCTCATAGTACACTGTATGGCATATGCTCGTCTTCATTAGCCCAGGTTAGGAGCAGAACAGTAGGACGTTAAACCCCATTTCATTTCATTTCATTTCTTTCACCAAAGACCACATAAATACTTCATTTAGCACTTGTCATTTGAAACAGTTATAGCCTATGTCTTGTCTGGAAGAGGGGGCATCATCACATTACCATACAGGGTATAAGTCGATGTTGAGTATAAGTCAAATTGCCAAATTTTACATTTTTCCAACCTACTTCCATAATTAAGTAGAGGCGGTATATAAGACTAATGTTTTTCAACTCCATGAGTTTCGGGACTGTTATCCTAGTCTAATACCGTGCCGGTGTACGCCGAAGAAAAGTTGGGCCATATAAATAATGAGGGTCTGGGACAGTTGTCAATAACACTTGCATTTATAAACAAACATGAATCGTGATGACGAATTAGGATTCAATAAAAAAAACAACATAGATATGGCCCATGAAGAGAGAAATTTTACGATAAAAAAAATTAAGAGTGTTGGATATTGAACTGACAATGCAATCAAATGGATTTTCGGAAATGGCATTCTTATATAAATTTCATGGGCGTCAACATCTTGTTTTAGGACTAGTTACCTCCCTTAGACTTTGTTTATGATAATGTAAAAGACCGGATAATCTAGCCTATGACCGAATATTCTCAAATGTTGACAACGCAACCACACTAATATTCGTAGAATATAGAATATTTTTTTCTAGATGATAGAGACTAATAATATGCCAACATTGAAATGTGTGCATAAATATGGTATATACTTAACTACACCAATATTATACCTATGTCATAGAATTTGTTACACACATTACAAATATAATCTTAATAGAGATCTTTGCTATGGTTGATCTATCAATAAAAATTGGAAGATTTGTAAGGAACGCAAAAGTTTATTGTTTACTGGCTGCAGCAGGGAGCAATAACAGGAACACAGATGATTTTCAACTCACTGATACAACTCAGTTTAGACTTTAAGCCAAAGAGCTGTTATATAATACTGTGACAGGATATCTGCTCTAAACTAACTAGTCATCAAAGAATTGACTGTCAAAAGTTCAGACAGAAAGTATTTTAGGCCTACAATGTTTGTAAAGCTTTGGCCTACATTCTGATGATATTTGTGCTACCATAGATACATATATATTTATATCATTACATTATGTGACAAGTAGTAGTGTTTGGCAAGTAGTAGTGTTGTCTAACTTTCATTATAAAGCCCATATAAATCTTTTTAGAACTTCTTTGTCATTACTGCCACCAAGGGTGCTCAAATATACATGTAGGATCTGTAAAAAAAAAAAATAAATAAAAAGCAACTTTATACTCCCAAAAAAAAACGTAATTGGGTTAAACGGCCTACTGTTCAGCTCCAACTGGGCTGACAGCCAACCTACTGTGGATCTGTAATGAAATGGGGTTCAACACCATACTGTGCTGCTCAAACAGGGCTAAAGAAGTTGGACAAATGCTTGAAAGTGTGCTGTGATGGAAATTTTGACTGGCCGTGTGTACAAAAGAGCTTGGTTTTTTGTCCTATCCGAACAACTGTACATTAGCCCTTACCAGCCCCTCTGTCTTGCACCAGTTAAAAGAGGAACCATGCCAGAAAATCCTGATGAACTTTCTTGGCCACCACAAGAAAAAATAAGCTGGGGAGTAGGACTGAAACCTTTATGTACAAGTATGTACGGGCAAACTTGTTATTTAATGTTATATCATTTAAATAGGCCTATGTATATAAGCTTAAAGTCTTGATTATCCATTTTTCAATTAAATTAAATCATTAACATTAACCGCCAGTGTTTGAATATGTGAACATCTCGAGCACCCGATGGCATTGAGACTTGATTATAGACATAGCAAGTTAATACATTAAAATGTCTTATAAAAAAATTTAACATTTACAGTCTCAAGAAATACCTACTTAACCTACGTACAATATATAGATTTAGCTCTTGCATTATGCATTATTAAATTTGCAAAAATATCAGTACAATAACAAAAAAAAACAACCTGAAACACCCATAAAAATGTTTAGAAAATACTACATGTACTTATATTATAATTAGCACAGCCTGAATTTTAACAGTCTACATCATTAATAAATTCGTTATGTGTTTGATAATTTTTTAATCCAGATTTTTTAAAAACAATTTTGGAACCAGTATTACTTTCGATAACTTAAAGCAATGTTGATTTTGTTTATGAATAGTATGGTTTACGGACAATGTAACTGCATCGTGTTAAAAACAAATACTGACTGTCTGATATACAAAGTTGCGTGCAAACTTTTTCCACGGCCAGATTATTTTTTTATCAACATTAGATCTATCGGTATACTGTCAACGGAAGTTCGCATAAAAAGTGCACTTACCTTCAACTTTACTTTGCTGAATCCAAAATCGTCTGTGTATGTGTGGAATAGCTTTATTTAACTTTAAATCACGGCATCATTTCTTCTTTGGGAAAAATTTTAACCTATGCCGCCATTTTAAATCCCAGAATTCCGTACGTTCCGGTCAAACGAACAAACAAAAAATATTTAATAAATAATAAAAGCAATTTAGATAAATAACAACAATAACCGTAACCTATAAAAAAATATTGTAATGTGAATAGAAATAATATGATATAAACCGATTTAAACACAATCATCAACCGTGAACAGATCGTGACCTTGACCTTGCCCGAGACGATAAAAATATATTTGTACATCTATCTCTAAAAATGGCGACTGTTCGTTTGAAAGGCCTGTAATATTTCTGATAATGAATCTATTCATATAATTTGTTTGTATACGCTCTACTATATTTTATATGAGGTTACATAATTACGTCATATTAAAAGAATAATCAAATCGGGGAATTTTAATTTTCAGAGATAGGTCTTTTATCGAGAGACGATAAATATATGGTCGTCCGCTTGCCAGCCTATCTTTTATAGTCCCATTGGTGCAGAAAAGTAGGAAAATTAAATAAAATTAAATGAGATTAAACACCCTACTGTTTTGCTCTGAGTGAGCTAATGAAGACAGGCATACACTATATACAGTGTACTATGACGGAAACTTTGCACGGATAGCGGCACTATGGCCTACTCTGATATTGAATTACAACTGTCGGAGTGTCTTTTACGTGCATGCCAATATGTACATGAGGACTTGATTTTTTGTATGACCCAAACATCTATACCTTATCCCTTGCCAGATCCTCCGCCCTGCCACAGTCCATAGAAAATTTTCGTCATAGCACTCTGCATTGCGTATGACTATCTTCAATAGTCCGATTGGTGCAGAAAAGTATGAAAATGAATTTTAAATGGGGTTTGAAAATCCTACTATTTTGTTCCAAGTGGGCTAATGAAGAAGGGCATATGCTATAATGGTTAAAATGTTGTGATTTCGGGTTAAAATGCCGTGATGTTGGGTTATCGGTTTACGAAGGGTGATATCAGTCACCATATCTACTGGGTTTCTTTAATACTCATATTTATAGTATTTTATAGAGTCAGACTAGTGGACTAGTGAATGCACGGATTAGTGCACCCACGGACTAGTGAACCCACAGACTAGTAATTGGTAATGATGGAAAAGTGTGTAAAGACCTGTTTTACAGGTTGGCGTGCACTTAGAACTATTGGTAATGACTATATGCGGAAATGCTGCTCTCCAGGCAAAATGTCTTTCCTAGCACATCGTCATTAGTAAGCGCGGTAATGCTGCTGTCCAGGCAAAATTTCTGTCATAGCACATCTTCATTACTAATTTTGATAAAGCCACGGTGGCTAAGTGCGTAAGATGCTGGCTCGGTAATCCGGAGGGCACGTGTTCGATGCCTGCATTGGTGGAGAAAGTTCATCAGGATTTTCCGACATGGTTTCCCCTTGTCAGAGGTGCAGGAACAAGGACAGTAGTCTAGTCACTCAGATGGGACAAAAAACCGAGGTACCATGTATACATTGTCTTGCACGAAAAGATCCCTTGGCAGTTGGATTCGATATTAGTAGGCCATAGTGCCGCTGCTGGGGCAAAATTTCCCTCATAGAACATTGTATGGTATGTACCTGTATTCATCAGGACAAACCTACATGAGGAAAAACCTACATTTCACAAACTTAGTAATTAGTAACGGGGGGGTTGGATGGCTGAATGGTTAGTGTGCGGGCGCTGTATCATAAAGTCTGTCATTGAGTTGACTGGCGTGGTTTCGGATCCCCGGTTGTACGTGACAAGGAGTAGGGTCGCCTGTCCAACCTCCGGTTTTCTCCCACTGTTAAGACCCCTACGCGCAAGTGAATTATGTAAATAAAAATTAAACCATATGTTAGTCCCGAAATGACCTAGTTTGTGTCGAGTAGACGTTAAACCCCATTTCTCTCTCTCTCTCTCTCTCTAGTAATTAGTAACACACTGGCTAGCAAATGAGGGGTTCAATTTCCGTGTTGATCGAGAAAAATGAAATGAAATCGGGTTTAACGTCCTACTGTTCTGCTCCTAAACTGAGCTAATGAAGACGAGCATACGCCATACAGTATGCTATGAAGGAAATTTTGCCCAGGCAGCGGCGCTATGGCCTACTCTTATATCAAGTTCCAACTACCAAGGGATCTTTCATGTGCACTCCTGTGTGTACACGTGACCTCAGTTTTTCATCCCTGACTAGACAGCTGTTCTTGTCAGGCCCACCGTCCTGTATCACTGACAAGGGGAAAACACGCAGGAAAATCTGGATGAACTTTCTCAGCCAATGCAGGGATCGAACACCCGACCTCCAGGCTAGCGAGTCAGCGTCTTACCCACTTAGCCAACGTGATCCCCATGTTGGTCGAGAAAGTTCCCTTTGTTAGTAGTGGTGTAGGACAGAGGACCTCAAAAAAACAGTGTCTAGTCCATCACTTGGGTGTGCACGTAAAAGAACCCTTGACATTTGGAATTTGAAATGAGAGTAGATCATTCATTCATTCAGTTTCTCTTTGTGTGTCACCTACAGACCGCAACTACTAAAGGAGCTAGATCTCTATTCTTGGGCACTTAGAAATGGATACAAAATGTAATGAAATGAAATGGGGTTTAACGTCCAACTGTTCTGCTCCGAACTGGGCTAATGAAGATGGCTATACACCATACAGTGTGTTATGAGGGAAATTTTGCCCTGACAGTGGCACTACGGCCTACTCTTATATCGAATTCCAACTGTCAAGGGATCTTTTACATGCATGCCAATGTGTACACGGGACCTCGGTTTTTTATCCCATCTGAACAACTAGACAGCTGTCCTTGTCAGACTCTCCGTCCTGCATCACTGACAAGGGGAAACCACGCCGGAAATCTGGATGAACTTTCTCGGCCAATGCAGGGATCGAACACCCGACCTCCAGGCTAGCGAGCCAGGGTCTTACCCATTTTAATGACTAGACAGCTGTCTTGTCAGGCCCTTAATTGTTAGTATCATGACATTAAACTGACATTTGTTTTACGTTTTACAACTAATATCAGGTTTATGTTAGAAAACTAACGTTAGATTTATGTTAGAAAACTAAAGTTAGATTTATGTTATAAAATTAACATTAGATTTACGTTAGAAAACTAACGTTAAATTAACGGTTAAAATTATGACATAAAACTAACACTAACGTTAGATTTACGTCAGAAAACTAACGTTAGATTTACGTCAGAAAACTAACGTTAGATTTACGTCGGAAAACTAACCATAAACTAACGGTTAGAAACCTGATGTAAAATTTACGTTAGATTAACGTTAGAATTATAACCAATAATACATATATAATTATTATGTCTGAATTCCGACTATATATCAATTGTTAGAATGTGCACACACTTGTAATGTTATTTAATCAAGAAGTATTCAAAGGAAAAAAAATTGGTTAGTAATCCGTCATAAAGTTTACGTTACATTTACGTCATTTTCTGACGTAAAAGTAACCATAACCATTATGACGTAAAAGTAACGTAAATTTAACCAAAGAATTTTACCATTATTGGACGCTAACCAAAATCTAACCATAATGACGTAAACTTTACGTAAATCTAACCATCAATGTTAACTGGGTAGTCAATCAGTGTTATTAATACTAATTAACTATGGGTTCCTATTGCTTGGTGGGGGGTTTGGTGGGGGGTTGGGTGGCCGAATGGTAGCACGTGCGAGCTGTATCATACGGCCTGTCATTGAGTCAACTGGCGTGGTTTCGAATCCCCGGTTGTACGTGTCAAGGAGTAGGGTCGCCTGTCCAACCTCGTGGGTTTTCTCCGGGTCCTCCGGTTTCCTCCCACTGCTAAAGACCCCTCACGCAAGCGAATTATTTAAATAAAATTAAACCATATGTTAGTCCCGAAATGACCTAATTTGTGTCGAGTGGACGTTAAACCCCATTTCTCTCTCTCTCTCTCTCAGGTTTGGTAATTATAAAAGAGATTTAGCTTGTTGGTGTTGTTTTAAGAGGTTTGTGACGAGTTCAATCAGTTGATTGTCTTGTACACTAAGCTTTTTGGTTATTAGATGATAGAAAGAAGAGTAGAATAGTTAAATAAATGAAGAGTCTGATAAGGAAAATAATGGAAATAAGGAAAGGATGAGAAAGAGAAATAAATAAATGGAGTTAAGAAGTTGGAATATAGGGAGAATGAAAAAACAAATAACAAAAAGTAAAAAAGGGTGAGGGGAAGGTAACTAAATAAAGTAGATTAAAAATGTAGAAAATAAAATAGGAGGAATTAAGGAAATAAGCTTATATCTGATATAAAAAGAAAAAATAGTAATCTAACAATAAATCAAAGAGAAAAGAAGCAAAAAAAAGTGGAAGAACAAAATAAATTAAAATAAGGTAGATAGAAAAGAAAAAAAATGAGAACAGCTTATACCTTGTGAAGCTATAAAAATAAAGACAACCTTAAAATTACTTATGGACTGGAGGATCTTTGCAGAATCTAGTAGTCCTGGGTTTGAGGAGTTTTTTGGAGTCTGGCTAGGCTTCTTTATCTATAATAAACTGGGGGTTGGATGGCTGAATGGCTGAATGGTTAGCGTGCGCGCGCTGTATCATAAAGTCTGTCATTGAGTCGACTGGCGTGGTTTCCAATCCCCGGTTGTATGTGGCAAGGAGTAGGGTCGCCTGTCCAACCTCGTGGGTTTTCTCCGGGTACTCCGGTTTCCTCCCACTGCTAAAGACCCATACGCGCAAGCGAATTATGTAAATAAAATTAAACCATATGTTAGTCCCGAAATGACCTAGTTTGTGTTGAGTGGACGTTAAACCCCATTTCTCTCTCTCTCTCTCTCTCTCTATAATAAACTCAGCAATAGCTTTGGAGCTCTGGTGCACTAGGTGTTATCAGTGCGAGTACTAATTAACAACCACTGACTCGTGTTACAAATCCTACTACTACTGGTTCTTTGTCTTTAATCCTCATATAGGAGTTGTATATTAATGAGATTAATCATATATCAATAATTAATCCTCATATAGGAGTTGTATATTAATGAGATTAATCATATATCAATAATTATGATTTCTTATTTACATTTTCTTATTTACTTTTTGTTCTTATTCCGTATTCGTAATGAAGATTAAGGGTTTATTAGTATCAACTGTTGTTTTAGTATAATTGTATATTTCCCTCCCTTTAAGGGTTTCTTACAGATTATATTAATAATAGTGTCATAGGTATTAGGTTTAACTTTGAATGGCTTCTGATTCAACTCTTAATTAATTTATTGTTATCCACCTGTATATTGTATATAAGGGTTTCTTATTGATTAATAATAGTTTTCATAGGTTTAACTTTAATGGCTTCTGATTTAAACCCTTGATTAGTTTATTGTTATCTACTTGTATATAACCTTCTGTAACATGTTTGAATGTATGTCTACGATACCACCTTAGGTGGAAGTGGACGTAAAACCCCAGAAACGAACGAACGTTTGGATGTATCATTGCTTGATGATAACGGTGAAAGTATCCTCATTGAAACGTTGCAGTTACATAAAGTTGTCAGTTTATTGTCCATAATGTTGCTGGTTGTTTTTTTTATATGATTACAGTACATTGTCACTTAGTAAAGTGCCCCTGAACACGATATGAAAGGGCGCACTGTAAATATTCGCCATCGGAGTGGCAAAGAGTAATTCGCCATTCGTTCGTTTCCGTTTTTTGCCATTCTTTTTTTAAAATGGATATTTTCTGTCCTATCACGATGTCTGGTCGAGTTGTTTATTTATGATTACATTGTCACTTTGTAAAGTGCCCCTGAACATGTTATATGAAAGGGCGCACTATAAATATGCTGTAATAATAATAATAAATACTACTAAGCACTTCAAATAGTTCAACTTTGTCCCACAAAATGAACATAGATCATTTTCGTTGCAGTAAAAATGATTACTCCTTAGATCACTGAGTGGAGAGAAAAAGTTCATTCGATCAGTGTAAATACGTTAAAATGTGTGAAATATATGACAAAATATTTTTATTCAAATAAACGGGTTGGAAATAAACAGTGGTTGAAAATGAAAGATATACCTAGATAAAAGATAGGTTGCCAGGCAACGAAACGCCCACAGCAGCTATATCGTCCGGGCAGTCAACAAGAGTTGTCGCATATTTTTACTTTTTTCGGTAATGAAGCATTTATAATACATTAAAATCTGATTAAGAGTAACAACTCATTAAGTAATTATCAGAAAAACCATTAAAATTTGTTTGGTTTTTATAAAGTTCTGCCCCATGCTAACGTTTAGTATACGAAACTTTTAACATCATGGATTTAGCTGTTCAAGTCGTAAAGATTCATTGAAAATCAATATACGTGTTCGTCTCAAGACCTTAAACTCTGTGTATCAATCTGAAGTCAATCGGATGATAACTTTAGCCTCCAGAGCGTCACAAGATTTTTCAAAGTCATCAAGGGCCATAACTTTGGCAGTAATTATCCGAAATCGTTGAAAATCAATATGATTCTTCGTCTCATGGCCTCAAACAGTGTGTATAAATTTAAAGTCAATCGGATATTAACTTTAGCCTCTAGAGCGCCCACAAGATTTTTTGAAGTGATCAAGGGCCATAACTCTGGCAGTAATTATCGGAAATCGCTGA